ACACACACACACACACACACACACACACACACACACACACACACACACACACACTACTTTCAGCACCACATTATATGTAATTAGCCAATTTATTCAAATGCAAAATATTATAATACACACCTGTTTGCACAATACTATAACACACACCTGTTTAGGAAGATCCATTCATAACTTTCTCGAAGACGAAGTAAAAATCATCTGACACAATAGAATAATGAGGGGAAACAATTCATGTAAATACCAGGATATGAAAATGGCATATCCTTTGTCACATCCCTTGAACCTGTTCGCCATCACATTACAAACAATAAGCCCTACAATTGATGCATAGAAAGGAACCATGAGTAAGTCCTGCTTCTTTTCTTTCAATCGGTTGTTCTGTCTATCATGCTTTTCCCTGCACCATAAGATCACTACCAAGCCAAAGTGCATTTCTTTAAAAGTATTTAAAAAGGGGGGGAAAAAAACTCAATTCAATCTGGATTCCAACTGTTCTTTAAAATCAAATCCTGAAATGACTTCACCAAAGGGTTTTATATAACTAATTAAATAAAACTAAACAAGGCCTCTCATTATTGACAATCCTACAACCTTTGAAGGCAACATAAAAATTAATTCTTTAGAAATTTGAAATATTACAGACATTTGAATTTTTACAGACAGTCTTCTCATCCTTATTATCTTTATAAAAATTCTCAAAATGAAATCATTTCCCACACAAGGATAAAATCCTTCACAACTCACAGTAATTCTATCTAAAAGGGAAAAAAACATCCAGCATTTGAAATCAAACAAACAGTCAAACTATTCTTTTTTACAGAAGTCTTTAATAATATTGTAAGTAGAAACAAGCTCATAACATGAAGAAACAAACAAAAATTATAATTGTAAATATTTTTAAAGTCATGACATGAAATTATTGCAACCAGGACAAAAAATATTTCCTTCCAAGCATTGGTCACAGAATACTGATGTAAGATGTCCTTACTCATAATCTAGATCACTACTGAATTTTGTCTCAAAGCTTTTCCTCCCAAGAGAATATAAGTCATCCTTGTATGTTTTGTCCTCATCCTCATACTGAGTATTCCTCGATGACTGACGTAAGTTTCTCAGTCCAGGCCAGTCTGGTTCATGCGGCAACTGATTTTCTGTGACACAAAAACACAAGGAAAAGACCAATGAGTGACAGGAGTCATTATGTTAAAAATAGATTTTACAGTTAAAATACCAATTTTATTTATATTGATTCCCATAGACAGTTTGTTTACAAAGGCAAGACAATAAGACAACGAACAATTCAGCATAGTTACTTAATACACAATACACAACTTCACATGACAGATAATCTTACCAACAGGCCCGAGATGCAAGCTCTATGTTGCATTCTCTTTTTGAGTTACGGGTAACATGGGTTTGCTCAAACCAACATTCAGTGATCACCCATCTAAACAATAACATTATGTCTATGAAATTTCATTATGCCATGAGGCTGCCCGATAAGCCAGGAACACTATGCTCTAGTGGGAACACAGACCACACTTAACTCTTTCACTACCAGGGGGTTTTCCTCATCTGGACTTGGCCTTAGCTGTGACCTACTTTCTGATTCTGCCTAACCTCAGACAAATGATTAAAGATTTTAAGAAAATAAAGGGGAAATAATGACCCTATCCCAACATGTTGCTAAAAATATAAATGAACATTCTTCAGCCTGAGGTTTAAGTTTCTACTATTACAAAAGTAGTACTAGTTTTGAAGTAGTGTTAACATTATGATCTCTCTTACTGTAATGTGGAAAGAGAAACTTACAACCGAGCTCTCCTGCCCACCCTTTAGGAAAAGAAAGAAGAGGGGTGGGAGGGGAAGGGTTAGTGTAAGGATGAGGTGCAGAAAAAGAATAAACATACCTTAAAAATTCCCCATTAAAAATGTTTTTCAAAATACAGATGTGCATCTTCTGCGGAGCAGAATAGATCTTAGCTATACAAGGGCTTAACGTGACCACAAACACTAGCACGTACTTTGGTTACTGGACATAGTGCAGTCCTTACTGCCACTACAGTGCTTCAACTTTTTGAGAGCCTCATGCAGCTGCTGTATAACACCATAGTTGAGCTCAGTCACTGTGTTCTTCAGCTGTGAAGAAATAAACAACATTGAGGGGATTTTCCCTTATTCAAACAAAGCAAAGAATATTATTTCAATAATGGCTATTTAGTGAAGGGACAAAAACAAGCTAGAGAGACAGAAAGAAACATCAGAAGAAAAGAAAAGAAGAGGAGTTTAGCAAGACTTTTTTTGTTTTTGTTTTAAGACAATGAGAGTATAAAACAAATCTAACAGTTATGAATCTCCACATACAACAACAACAACAATGAAGCTGAAGAACTGTGAAAATCTTTGCCTTGGAGTATAGAGTTGATCACTACACACTATAAAAGCACACCAGCTCAGCAAAAGCCTAAGGTAACACTGTGTAAATAAAACATTTTTGCACAGTCGAAAATACAACACAAAAGAAAAACCTAACAGTAACAGTCAAGCTCGCACATAGCGAACAGGAACATAGCAAAAGAAAAACACAGTGATGATTCATTATCTTATTGTTTTTCATGTAGATGTTTTCACACCCCCATCAACACAATTTAGATTAATTAGGAGGCTGGCTTCTGACCCACCCATGAGGACCAATCCAGGTTTAGAGAGATACAGTATCCCAGCAGAGCGACCAAAATACTATAAAAATGTTCTCCCCACTCCAGAACCAAATTCAGGTCTTCTGCATGCAACAGTGAAGTGCCTAATTACTACAACACCACAGACTCCAGTGCTAATGCTTGCAAGACTGTATTTTGATAAATGGTGGTAATACCTGAAATGGATCTGTGAGTAGATCGTAATAGCTCATGAAGGTCGTGATGAACTCACAGTAGACAAAGTCATGAGTCTGGTTAATAGTCCGCAGACACCAGAATGTGTTGTTGTTGGCGTTAGAGCAAAAGCAAAAGGGGCCATCTGTGTGTAGAAAAAAACAAATATTATCAACCTGTGATACAATGGCCTACAAGGTGCAGAAATAGGTCACTTTTGTTCCTACAAATCTATTTCTTTTTAACAAGCTCATAGCTAGATCTATCTTGACAAAAGTTGTAAACACTGCTAAAACAGATATGGTTGGCCATGTATGTACCATTTTGAAAACTTCAAGGTATATACAACCAGTTCAGAACAAAATTTATTAAGAGTATAACTTCAAATTGGATATTTGAACATGCTTTTTTCCCACCACTAACTTCAAACTTAATAGACATCTAAATCTATTGTTTGATATTACATGAATTTCAGCGTGCATTAGAGTTACTGAAGTGGTTACAAAATCTACACATCGACTGCTCAGTGTTGGACTACTGACATACACCTCTTTTCAAAATGGAGTATGGTGGAGTCTTACACTAAGCAGTTAATATCATTACAAGAGGTAATCAGAGACAATTAGCCTTGACATTTTTTTAATCGAAGAGTATATGAACACATTCAAAAACAAAACTGCCGTGTCATGCAATGCCACAAAGTATTGTTGTTGAATGATTTAAACAAAACAAACGAGGTAGCATTTTCTAGAATTGCCATTTAACTATTCTATTCCCCTCGACTCAGCTTACAATGCCAATAAGGTGGAGTCTTCCAGTGGTCATTATTGTGTGTGAAGCAGTTCATATTTTCATTATTGCAATTGTCATTCTTCCTTTTTCTTCTCTGTCTCCTCATCTTTCTCCTCTTCAATCTTGCCTCAATCCGACTCTCTCTGTCTTTCATCCGCCTGTGAACAAAAACAAATAAAACAATAATTGGTCATACTAAACTCAGACTGAAAAACAAGAAAACAATACATTTGGGAGCTTTGGAATTCTGAGGAAATTTGATGGTTTCTAGACCCACGTCTGTGGCGTAGTGGATAGGCACTTTGCTTTCGCATGCAGGAGACCCATATTCGATTCATGAGAGGGGAGAAATTTTTATCGTGTATCTCAGTCTTTCTGCTAGTTTGGGGTATCCCTCTCAACTCAGATTGACAGGCTGTGACTGATAGGGTTTAAAAGTCCACATCCTAAAAGATCTAAATTGTGTCAATGAGGCAAATAAGTGTCCACATTTTTTTTAATGGGGGAGGGGGGAGGGGATAGGAGAGATAAGAAACAATAGAGGTTTGACAGGAAAGAAGGAGCAAACCACACCCATCAACCACCTATTTAACAGCAATATTCCTCTCTACCATTAAATGATAAAGATCAAAAAGAGCATTGTGTGGACTTGCAATAAAAATGCTTCTAAATTGATTTCCTGGCTGTGTCAGAATGGTCATTGAATCATTTGTGAAAAATACTTTAACCAATCTTCCAGAATTCCTTGAACAATCACAAAGTACCCATAAGCTTTTCAAAAGAATTCTGGAAAATAAGTCAAGGAAATTTTTAAAAAAATAAAAAGCAAGCTCACTACTGAATAGAGGGATTTTTTCATCCGCTTCTTGAAATCGTTATTTTCGCAATTTTTAAAGAAATCTTTGAATTCAAGTCGTTTGCTAATATTAAAAGTGGCACTGCTGCACTGGAACACATGATACTAGACAGCTCAAATCAAGAATTCAAAACATTCACAAGAAATGAAACAGGCAAAACATGAACAAACAAAAAACACACACAAAAAAGAAAACGGTGTGCAGTACTTACCGTCTCTGTTGAGGTGTCAGGTCAGTTTCCTGTTCATCACAGTCACAATCTTCTTCACTGTCATCATTCCAGTTTTTCTCATCCTCTTCATCACTCATGTCATCATCTTCAGCATCCAAAGGTCTCTGTTTCCTCAAATGGCGTCTAATGTCCTGAAAAAGCAAAATAAAATGTGTCATAACCCATTGGAATCAGGGGCTTGTCAGTTTTTTGGGCTTGTGGAGTTTTTGGTATCATCATAAAGCTTGTTCATTTGCCTTCCTTCTAATGAATAAATTACCTATCTTTTTTTGAGAGAAGTCAAAATATTTACGATGAAGGAAATGGGAGTCACCTGGTTTCAGAGGTAAAATTAGTGAGAAATTGGCCGTCAAAGTTTGGTGACTTCCATAGGGGGAAAACTTTTATTTGAGCATCTCCATCTTTCCTCTGGGATGATCTATCCCTCTCACCCTGAGTTAGCACTGACAGGCAGAGTTGAAACCCGCCTCCTTAATGATCTAACTTGTGTTGATGGGGATGTAAAAACACATACATCGACATTTTTTTAATAAAAGAGGACCCAAGAGAATTTCTTACCCTCAAATCTTCTAAGGCTTTCCTATATTCCTTGATCATGTCATCAATTCGCTCCTTGTGGCTCTCCCACTCAGATGCTTTGCGATAAATGTCAAGGTCACACAAAACTGACTGATTTGCAAGAATTCTGCATCGTCTGTTGAACATAGCGTCAAAACCATCTGTAAAATAAAAGAGAGACAAAAATCAAAACAGAAAAAGGGGTATGTAGATAATCACGAATTACAAAATAAGTTCTACAAAACATTGAAAATATTTTGGCTGCTCTGTATGGCAGAGGAACTTTTAACTCTTTTTCTTCGGCAAGCAGCTGTGTCTTTGAGCCACTTGCAGCAGCTCGGGCACATTACTAAATTTACGACAGCTTCAACGTCAAATTATTTTTGGGCAATTGCTAAAAAATGATCTCTTTTATAAGGATATCATTCATTTGATGAAGAACTATTGAAATAGGTTCAATTGTTTTGATTTAATGACCAATTTCGCGGCATATAATATACCAATTTTAGATTTTGTACCAAAAGAGGGATCCAGCAGAGTGGGTTTACACCACTCCCCCCCCCCGAGATAAAGAGTTAATTCAATTACTCACTGAATCCTCCACTTGTGCTTGAAGTATTGACAGCAATCCCAGTGGATCTTTTGAAGCGGAAATTATTTGGTCTGTAATCTGAAATAACATGACAATTTCAACATTTAGTCACTCTATAGTAGGGAAGGGATATCAAACTGCAAATCTTAAATAGAATCCTTTTTATTCAAAGAAAGGAATAGATGGAAAGTGATGACATAAAAAATGATTTAACTGGACCAAAATACAACTTACAAAAGTGATTTTAGTCCTCATATTGAAAGAATAGATGTATTTCTTTCATGAGTGGTTAGTGGGGGCTGTGGTGTGACTAACTCTTTCCTTCTTATCAATCATCTATCTTCCTTATCTCTCTTCCTTTTCTTTGTACATTCCTCTCTAGTAACACCTTCAATTTTCAGCACTTATATGACCTTTCTGTGTTACAAGAGCCATAAATCTCAAACTAATACTAAACGAAACCTTTCTTTTCATTGCTGTTTAACCCTTTTTCGCTTTTCTGATTGCATTTAAATTTATGCAGCAATATAACATTCAAATAAACTGATAGAGGCTGAGCTGAAGCCATTCATGCTTTCCGTAAATTTAACAAAACAATACTTTCCATATTGAGGTACTGTTGAAACATTCACTGACCACCTTCATATTCAAAGAGTTTCAACTGTTTTACTTTAAGTTCAGCAGTCTTGTAATCAAATAACAGAATATGAGTTAAAGAAATTGTGTCACAACGCAGTGGAATCAGGCTCTCGTCAATTTTGGGGCTTGTAGAGTTATTGGTATCATCTTAAAGCTGGTTCACTTGTCTTTATTTGGAAGAAAAAAATATCCATTTATCTTGAATACAAGTCGAGATATTTGCGAAAGGAGGTGGGGGTCACTTGTTTTCAGAGGTAAAATTGGTGAGAAAATGGCTGCCAAAGATTAGTTATTTCCTTAGCTTAAGAGTCCGTGGTAACTGAAAAATTACATTTTTTGTGTCTTTAATCAACGTTTTTCAGAAAAATACACACAGAAATGAGTTCTTTAATGGGCATGAAAGGTGGTGAGGCAAAAAACAAAAATTTGATAAAAATTCACAAACCTGTGGAAAAATGCAAGTTTCTTCACTTTTATTATTTTGACGAGAGCCACTACGCTGCCTCACAATTAATAAAAATAAACAAGCTTAAAACTAATAAAAATGATAATAACATTAATAACAATACAAATAATAATAATAATAATAATAATAATAATAATAAACATATTAATTAATAATAATAATCATAATAATAATAATAATAATAATAATAATAATAATAATAAACACTAACATAATAACAAATCTTTTATATGGTTCGGTACCCATTCACACCTGAAAGAAGTGAGAAAAATTCATGTAAAGTGCCTATACTATAGATACAACATTTGGCAGAGCTGAACATCAAATCCCCAAACCTGCAACCTCATGATTACAAGTCCTATAGCTTAACCACTACACCACTGACACCATCAAAAAAAGAAGAAGATGAAGAGAGCAAATATCTCACCCAACCCATCAGTAACCTGATACTAAGGGAAACATCTTTGCAGGAATACAATAGCAGTCAAGCTCTTTCTCTATTTCATTTTTCTATTCTCTTGTTCAACCATTGTCACCAGCACAGAGGTAGGCTATAACAGAAGCTCTTCACCACTGTATGCACGAGATATTAGTTTGGTTTCCCCATGGAGAAATCATGAATATGGAGTGTGTCCTGTGATATTTTTTCCTGCTAAACACAGGTTGGCCATAACAGACAGGATCTTGGTGGCCTGTCTGTAAAATACTCTAATCGTGTCAACACATTTGTAAAACATTTCCAATCATTAAGTATCCTCTACTAAACTCATAAAAAAGAGATCGGCCTACATATGCAAAATAAATAATAGAGTCAAAGAAAAGCACCACTAAATCAGACCCACACGCAAAATAAATTATACAGTCACAGAAAAATACAACTTAAACAGACACAAATACAAATGAAATTATACAATAGAAGAAAAGTAAAAGTAAATAAGACACACATATGAAAGAAATGTTTCATTCAAACAGAAGTGGAATGAGCACCAACCTCTGCCAATCTGCTTTTTCAAGAAACGACGCTGCCTCTTTCTCTCAATCCTACCCAGCCTGCGCATCCTTTTGGCCCGGCTACATGAACAGGGTTCTCCTTCCGAGGCCTCGTCTCTCTGCATGACCCCGTCACCGCTTGTGTTGATGGAACCTTTGTTGCGACACTTGTGTCTTCTCAGTCGACCGTTGTCCTCAATACAGTACCATTTCTGGACAAAACAAACTCACATTGTCCTCAATACAGTACCATTTCTGGACAAAACAAACAGACATTGTCCTCAATACAGTACCATTTCTGGACAAAACAAACACACATTGTCCTCAATACAGTACCATTTCTGGACAAAACAAACAGACATTGTCCTCAATACAGTACCATTTCTGGACAAAACAAACCCAAATTGTCCTCAATACAGTACCATTTCTGGACAAAACAAACAGACATTGTCCTCAATACAGTACCATTTCTGGACAAAACAAACTCACATTGTTCTCAATACAGTACCATTTCTGGACAAAACAAACAGACATTGTCCTCAATACAGTACCATTTCTGGACAAAACAAACTCACATTGTTCTCAATACAGTACCATTTCTGGACAAAACAAACACACATTGTTCTCAATACAGTACCATTTCTGGACAAAACAAACAGACATTGTCCTCAATACAGTACCATTTCTAGACAAAACAAACACACATTGTTCTCAATACAGTACCATTTCTAGACAGAACAAACTCACATTGTCCTCAATACAGTATAATTTTTTTAACAAAACACACAAGCATTGTCATCAATACATTTCCATTTCAGAGCAAACAAATATGGAGGCCTCAGTATCCCTACAGGTATAGTGTTCACCTGTTAACCACAACCTGAAATTCTGAAGTTAAATCCCCCAGAACATTAAATTGCTTTCTCAAGTTTTCTACATCCCCTTATCCTAGGGTAGGTTGCAACAGTAGGACACATTAATGATTTGACAGGGAGTGAGAAAACTAGACTCGTTTTTATGTGTACAAGCACCTTGTCTTCTCTCCAAAGAAGAGCATAGTACAGAAGAAATGTAAAATTAATGGAACCAAACAGAATAATTAATAATTTATTCATAGAAGCACCAGACATCTCTATGTTTAGGTGTTATTTTAGTCTCATTCTCTATCTTTCAATTCTATTTTTTAGTAAAACAATTTCTCACCCATTCGCTTTTTGAGCAGAGAAAGTTGACAACTCACCTGGAAGGGTTTGCAGGGTAGTCTGTTTTCTCCTTTGGAGCACTCCATGGCCAATTTCCTCGTTCGAGGCGGGATGTAAAAGTGCAGATTTCTCTTGTTGCCCATCTGGTTGAAGATGCTCATTTCCTCTGTTCTCATTCGCTGCTTCATAATCTTCTCCGAGAGCTTCCTGGAGGATTGACAAGCCAGACTTGGTATTTTTCTTATATTTTTGCTTGCTTTTGAAAGAACGAGTAGCCTAACTCGAAAGATTTTTATAGACACACAAGGCCAAATGGAACTGCCCAGGTTTTTCTCGTGAAATTGCGAAGTGCGAATTGCGCTAATACTACAAACAATTAGGCAGCTACTCTTTTACCCCCACCCTCCATCCTCCTCTCAAAAACAAAATTTTTTTTTTTTAAATGTAAAAGTGTCACAACGTGGCGGAATCAGGCGCTCGTCAATTTTTGGGCACATGGAGTTATTGGTATCATCTTAACTCTTCCCGGACGTAGTTTTTTGGGGGTCTAGTCATAATTAATCTGTGGCTCGATTTGGCTATGCAGGTCGTGTACAAAATAACTTCATAGAAGCAAAACCATCACTCCTAACGTAACATATGATTAGATCAAATTGAAGGAAATTAAAAGGGGAATACATCCCAATAAAAAACAAAGATTAATTTTGAACATAATGGCGATGTTGATGAGAAAAAAAAATTTTGACGGAAAAAATTACATTCACCAAACATGTGAAAGTAAATCAGCATTGCTATTTTACAGGCCAAGAGCATAATCCTTTAATTTCTGAATGAGCAGCTTTTCATTTGAAAGCAATATTCTAATTTTTGTTTGAGTTATGCAATTTATACTGAGTCCGGTTACATCGTTTTGTTGATGCAAGACCGCAAGAATTAACTCACTCGTTTTTCCCCAAACCCATGTTTTGACAAAGTGAAACTAGATGTTCTCGTTTCCTAAATCCTTTCCGAGTTTTTCAATAGCAATAAAAAGTAATTATAAATGACGGACCGTGTTAAAATGAAACAATACTGAAGCACTCTATCACAGCCGATATATCGGCAATACATCCAGAAAGAGTTAAAGCTAGTTCAGTTGTCTTGCTACCAGAGAAATAATGCCCATCTATCTTGAATAGATGTCAAGATATTTGAGATTTAAGAAAATGGAGTCGCCTAGCTTCACAGGTAGATTTAGCAAGAAAATGGCCGTCAAAGTTTGGTTATTTCCATAGCTTGATAGTCCATGAACACTTAAAACTTACATTTTTTCTGTTTGTAATCAACACCTTTCAATAAAATCCACACAGAAAAGGGATAACAAATGGTGCTAAGGCAAAAAACAAAAATTTGATTAAATTGCCAAACTCAATTTCACTATTCTGACGAGCGCCTAATTTCACCACGCTGCCTCACACACACACATATATATATATATATATATATATATATATTTATATATACAGTCGAACTTGCCTTAAAGGAAACCTGTGTAAAACAGAAACCTGTCTTAAAAGAATCTCCCTGCTCCCCCTTTGATAAATTTGTCTGAATTATCTGTATAAAACGGAAACCTGCCCAACGCAGAAATAAAAAGTCGCTCCCTTCTGAGGGCTTCACCTGTCTAAGGTGGAAAACGCTCTGTCCGCTCAGCCCTGATTTGAAACAAAACTCACAAGTTTGGTTACACCAGCTCTAAACTTAATGCCATGCCACCGGGCGAGGAAGAGGAGTAGGAGTGCAATTTGAGGGTAGATATTACCCCGTCCATGTGAGCCCTGAGTGATGCAGATGGTCAGGGTGGTGTGGGAGTGAAATCTCATGAGTGCCAGTGAAAATAGCAAGCCACCATGGAAATGTTCCTGGGTAGCCAGAAGCCAGAGGTGTGAAATTAGTTTGACTAATGCCTGCTGCCCTGATCGTACTGTATATATATAAAAGGGATTTGGGGTCTTTTTGTTTCAATCCTGATAAGTTTCAACAAATATTTGAACCACAAATATAAGCATATAAATCTGTGCATAGACAAGGTGTTGCCATTTTGACGAACCACCAATTTGTCTTTTTCTAAATCAATGTATCTCCTTTATGAGCTTAACCTTTCACTGGTATCATATTTCCCTCAGAGCTGTCATCTCCAAAAACCACTGCTTTAAGGACAGATCTCTAAATTACTATACAGACTTTCCAACCACCTATAATAAGGCATAATCCTCATAGAATGTTTTTCTCCAATAACACTTTTTTTTTTTTATAAATACATTTTAAGGTTTCAAACATACAAAACTAATGAGCAACAAAAAAAAACACCCTATGCTTCCCTGCCTGATGATATCTGTATGTCAGTGTTTTGAGATACCCATAAATGGATACAATACTGAATACTTGCACAACAAACAACATTCTGAAATCACGGCTTAAAAGTGCTGCCAAAGTACTTATTTAAGGCTACAGTACATCTTTTTCTCTGTTACTTTGACTTCTGTTCCACTCACCCTCTCTCAAACAGAATGGTGTCTCTCCATGGACGTTTCAGGCTAACAAAGCCTCTTTGATCCACACTGAAATTGAATTATGATGTAAGTTAAACTAATACATGTTCTGATCTTACAATAAAAATGACAGAGATGATAATCAAAATTACTGAAAAAAACTAACAAAAGCAATGCAATTCAATCCTTCACCAAACTAAAAAGAAAATAATTGTTCAATTCAAAACATGAGTCCATACGATTGTAGTAAATAGTCACATCTACAAATCAGGAGTCTGCATGATCAGCTGATGTGGAGAGGAGGAAAAGACAGAGGCAAGATTGGTGATTTTCTCCCTATTCTTGTTCAACTTTGAGACTTTTACGTCATAATCAATGCTATACCACATGAGACAATGTTTGCATGAGTTAATACAGGTCACTATTTGGAAAATTGGGTGAAAAGAAGGATACGAGAACTGAAATAATAATATCCCTTTTAAAATCTAATAGCTCAGGGGGAAAAAATGAAAAACAAAATGAGAAATGTATTTGTAACACTTACAGTAATCTTAATTGTAACTGTAAAAGTAATTCTAAGTGTAATTTGAACTGTCTTAACACTAACTGTGATTGTAAACCAACACTGAAATGGAGATTGAAATAATATTCATCACTAGTAACTGCTGCTGTAACCATGGTTGCAACTGTTCCATTGGGACAAATCAAACATACTTTTTAGGGTCCTTCGCTCCTTTGATCAACTTCAAAACCGACTGTCCATCCATGTGGTCTGGAACTTTCTTACCAGCAATATCAAGGATTGTAGGAGCAATGTCCACATTGCTGACTATGTTGGAAATTCTGGAAATAAAGAGAGAAACAAGCAGAAAGACTTTACTCTTCAAGATCAAAGAATATACAGTTGAACCTGCTATGATGGCTACCTGTCCAAGACAATCACCTGTACAAACAGCCACTAAGCAAGCACTTCCTCCCTTTTGCTTTTTTCTAATATTATTATGGCATTGATCAAAATGTCTATCAGTCTAAGATAACTATTTTCCTCTTCGACAATGGGTGGCTGACTTGGATAATTTGACCTGCATTTTATTATCAGCCAAATGAATTGAGCTGCACTTGGTACTCTTAGAGGACATCTAGAAAATCTGATCTTCATCTTGGAATCAAATATCTTCCCTCTCACTCGTTTTTTATGGAGAAAACTTAGCATTCTTTTCTCTTTGCAACAATTTTTAAAATACTAACTCATAAACAGATGTAAATCTCAATCAGTGCATTTCAGGTCATTTAGGAGGAAGAATGCTTTAGCCATGCCTGTCAAAGCCAAACTCAGCCAAGCACTGTACAGCATCCTAGAAGAAAGTGAAGAAACTGAATAAATTAAGACTTCCTCACAGGAGAACTGAACTCATTTTTTAGTAGAAACTGTAAAGAATGCAATTATTATAACATGGATGCCAGCATCCAATACTTATGTCAAAGCAGCAAATAGCATCGTATCGACTGCTCAGAGTAAGACTCTATTAAACATCTCTTTTTGACATAACCTATAGGGAGTCTTACAATAAACAGTTGATATGTGTTGGATGGCAACATACTAAACACCAAACAAAGCTAGAATTAACCACATACACAGTGCCAGGCCGTATCCCTGGTCCTCGTACAATGAGTGGAACTCTCGTGTCAAAGTCGAATGGCATGGCCTTGCCCTTGATGAGTCCAAACTGACCCAGATGGTAGCCATGGTCAGATGTGTAAAGGATGTACGTGTTGTCCAGTTCTCCCAGTAAGTCCAAGGTTCCCACTACCTGAAAGGAAAAAGAAGCATTTATATTGAACACTTTGCTTAGTCACTTTCGTGAAATTTTCAAACACTTCTTTATTTGCAATTGATTCATTCCACTATATCAAATTCTTTGTAAACATTTTGTTTGAAAACTTTTTTCTATTAATTGTTGAATTGCTTTGTACTATACATCAGTACTGCCAAAACGTTTCTCTTTAACTTAAATATTTTTAATTTAGTCATCAGTGAGATCATCTTTTAATTCTAGATGGCTTTCCATTTTACAAAAGCAGTCCATGCATTTTTAAGTCTTTGATGGGCGTCCTCAATGCAGTCTGCAGATTTTGACATAATGCTGACAAGGTCCTTGAATTTATTAATTTCTGCTAAAGGTTCTCCATAAAAGTCATGGGAGAAACAAGGTTAAATGGAATTACTTAATCATGACACATTTTTCTAAGAACAAGGACGGAATGAAAGGCTGGATGCAAGACTCCAACAAACACTTTTAAGAGACTTGGTATTTGTCAGAGTGTTGCATTCATCCATCAGTATACTCAATAACATGTTTATTCTCATATAAAGCAATATTTATGCTCATACAAGCAAGCCCCAGTATTTCCTGTCTTCACTTCTCCACTAGATGCATCCCGCCATCTATATGCTCAATATTTTTATTTTCATAAAGCAATATTTATGTCAATACAAGCAAACCTAAGTGGTTCCTGTCCTCACCTTCTCCACCAGATCATCCACGGACTGGAGAGTCTGGAGCCTGCGTCGCTGGAGGAGGTCGGTGAACAGTTTGTACTGAGGCATCATGGGATAAATATTTTGCAGCAGCCACTGTTTGTCTGGGTTTGGGGCGTAATTCCAGGCCTGTGTTCTGGGGAGGTAGAAAACAATTCTTGTTGAAAAAAAAATCCTTCAAACACATTCAGTTGTTTTTTTTAACTGGTCTTGGGAAAACATGTCAAACTCATTCAGATATTTTCCAAGATAACCTCAAGAAGTCATACTCATTTAGACATATTTCTAAGTAGCCTAAAAAAAATAAACATCACCTTTGTAAAGGCAAATTAAAGGATGATAAGGACAAAACCCTTGCTGGTGAAAGGTTAAACAATTTAGCAAATTACTGTGAAACTAAAGTATGGAAGTCTTTATATTCATGTTTTGCTTTTCATCAGCGATGATGATGATGATACTCGCAGAGATGATAACAATTATGATGAACATTATGATGGTGATAATGATGATGATAGAGGAACGAATAACCAATTCAAGAACATCACCTCACCTATGAGCGGTGTTATTGACAAACATGTGCTGGTACTGTGGGGCTGCATCCTCTGGGCCATGTGGGGCAGGGACACTCAAAACCATCATCAAAGGCCTGAATGAGGTATAAAATTGTGTGGGTTCAACACTTCTGTGAAAATTATCAGGTCATACAGTCTCCAACTGCCAGACCAGTTCTATAAACACACCAAATAGTTCAATACAGTGTTGGGCTTAAAATGCCCCAAATCAGATTTGAACCTCAGTCACTGGCATCATAGTCTAAACAAAAGGTTTGTCTCCATGATATGAAAATAAGACTGATAAAGAAAAAAAGAAGGTATGGTTTAAGGAGTTTCTCCTTGACTACACAAAGCATCTAACTTTTAAGCACAAAAAATGGTTCGAGTCTTCACTTCACTGTTGTAAATGACCGAGACAAATTTCTCTCTGAGATATGAATACAAATTGTCATTGCCATTGTCATTGCACACTGAAGATGTCACTTTGATTTCAGTGTATACAAAGAATATTTCACAGAGTCCTGCTGTCAGTCTGCTTTGAAGCTGTGTCCCATAGACCTATATCTAGCCCTGACAGCAGCAGAGTCAAAGCAGCCAGCATCTTAAATGACAGGGCATACCACAAATCATAATAAAGATGTCAATGATAGTAGCCTGGTACATGTACTGCTGAACCATCAAAATGTATAACAGACAACAAACATAAGTGAATTAAACAATGAATTGTTCCTTGTACTTTTCATTCACTTAGGACTTTGAAGTCAAAGTCATTTGTTCTTTGAAAATGAACTGTCTTCATTCTCTTTAAATTTTGTATTGAACTCATTTCAAACTTAAGACTCAACTTTTTGAATTTGAAACTTTTCTTAAAACTGATGGTGCGGTGGCGGAGCAGTTAGTCCACTCGTCTCTGAAGCGGAAAGTCAGACTCGGTTTTATGACTCGAGATTTTTTTCGCCCCCTCCGGCCCACCCAGCAGTAATGGGTACCTGACTTCGGGTTGGAGAAATAAAGGCGGCGTGGAAAGGAACTGGCCACCCTATCACAATATGCAGAAGGCCCAGGAAGTTGTCTCACTAACAAGGCAATCCCCAATGTTAGGATCAACTTTACTTTTTACTTTAAACTGACTTTCTCTAATCACTTTGGCCAATGAACTTTGAACTCACTTGCTGGGGAATCTCTTCTTACTGTAGTGCAGAAATGATACACTATCATTAGCCACCAGGTCCGTGAGGTAGTCCATGTAGTAATTATCTCCGTGCTTGGTCTTCTGACCCCACTCGTTGACCACCGTGTAGTTGTAGAACCGGGAGTTCTTGACCAATCCTACCCAGCGACTCCAGCCTGGAGGGGTGTGGCCGCCGTCATACTCGTTCAGGTATTTGCCAAAGTAACCTTAGAATAAAACTCTTTAATCAATATACAGGCCTCCAACATCTTATTCAATAGACGATAGAAGAAGAGAGCAAAAGTAGACCATGAACATATTCTTTTGATAAAAGAAACATACAGGTGACAGGATCAGACCTGGATATTTTTTTTTAAATTATTTTTTTTTGGGGGGGGGGGGGGGAACATCCAAGGAGAAAAATGAGAAGAGAACCACGATTGACAAATATCTGTTTGAGATTTGGCATCAAAGAAAAAGAAAAAAAAACTAACTAAAAATAACATTCTACAAATTTAATTATTTGAAAAAGTAATTCAAAGGAAAAACAACTGTCAAACTTGTCCTGATATTTTCCACAGGAACCTTGAGAAAAAGTATGATGTCAGTCCAAGGCCACTTTTACTATTGAAATAAAGCAAAGTGTGCTGACTTCCAAAGCTGTAATATCATTTGAAACTACAAATCCATAATTCATTCGCCTTTGATCAATTTTTTCCAGAAAAATTTAAGCAGGAATGAAAATGTGTGAGGCAGCGTGGTGGAATCAGGCTCTCGTCAAAATAATCAAAATGAAGAAATTGGAATTTTTCCGCAGATTTGTCAGTTTTTACAGAATTTTTATTTTATGGCTCAACATCTTTCATGCCCATTAAAGAACACATTTCTTTGAGGATTTGACCAAAAAGCGTTGATTAAAGGCCCAAAAAAATATAAATTGTCTGTTACCACAGTCTCTTAAGCTAAGGAAATAACTAATCTTAGACGGCCATTTTCTCACTGATTTTACCTCTGAAACCAGGTGACCCCCACCTCCTTCATTTGCAAATATCTCGATTTGTATTCTACATGCCCAAAAATTGACGAGAGCCTGATTCCACCGCGTTGTGACACATGTGTTTTTAAAGGGACATAAAAGGGGTTGAGCACCACCACCCCCCCCCCCCCAAATAAATATTGCCAAGCATGCTGAAAAATGTTGATCTCTCTGAGTTCATTATTTTGATGAACACCTGATTTCACCACAATACCTCACATTTTTTAAAGAAACATCTGTACAAGCAACAACGTACCTGTTGTATACGTCTCATTGATGTACGTGGCAAAGTTTCTCGACTCATAGTGTTTCTGCCACTGTGTGGAGGAGCAGTTCTCATTGTTGGTGTACACGTTGTGATTGTGCACGTACATGCCTGTCAGGAATGTGCTGCGAGAGGGGCAACACATCGGCGTAGGCACGAACGAGTTGTTGAAGTAGGCACCTGGCCGGATCAACAGGTTCTGCACTTTGGGCATGTAGTTCAGTGAGCCTGGGAACAAGCAATAGAAAGAAAAAGATGCAAGAAAAGTATAAATAAAGTAAATAGCACTGGGAAATCACTATGCCAGATTTGGTTCAGTAATTCTGATTTTTAAAAAGACAGAAAGAGACAACATCACAGAAGTAAATAAATAATGCAATCTAGGTTTCTAAAATATAAATTTTGATATTTATAATAGTTAACATACAAAGAAATCACTTTTCCACATACCGTTCAGTGAATGTAACAGAAAGAGATAGAAAATGATAAGAGAACAGCATCTGTGGTATAGGCCAGGTGGCTTGGTCAACATACGCCGAAGACCTGGGTTCCATTCACCGGAGTGAAAATTTTCTGTCCAGTATCTCTATCCTTCTGCCAGGGCATTACGCTCCTTTCAGTCTGGGTTAGCTGTGACTGGCATGGTCAAAGTCCACCCTCTCAGAGGTGTTAATAGGGGCATAAGACTTGCATGTTGTTTTTTTAAAGAGAGAGTGTCCAGGAAATTACTTTGAGTGAGAGTAATGAGAAGCAAACCGACACTATAACAGTCATTTCATCCATTTATAGACAGACAGACAGTCAGACAGACAGAGATAACAGAGGGAAGAATGAGAAGGTTCATTTACCAGAGGCATCTTTCAACCACCCACACATATTTTGGTGAAAGGTTGAGGGGAGAGGGAAGAGCTGAAACAGATAATCCCTCCTCCCCAACCCCCCAAATCTTCTCCTCCTCCTCCCCCTCTCTCTCTCTCTCT